TGTCTTGTACCAGCTTTACAGCACTGATGATTGAGCCACCAAATGGTGAACTTGCTGCCACAGACAAGAGCCAGCGAGGCAGCCCTATACCAGCACAACTCCCTTCCTAAAGAGCAGTAGCAGCCACCAGCCGAGCACAGCTACAAGCCTAAAAAGTACAGGATGAGCACTGCTGGAAGCCCCGCAACAGCCCAGGGTGCTAGGAAAGGGCCAGGACAGCCCAAGTTAGCAGCCAGAACATCCTGCAACAGCAGGACATCATAGCCTGGGCAGGGGTGGGTCTGTTCTTCTCTTTGAGCCACAAACCTATAGCAGGCAGGAAGAGAGCAGCTTTCATGACACTGGCCTATCGCTCACAATAAAGAGGAGTTTGCTGGGGCAACAGCCCCCTCTTGCAGCCCTGGTGGACTCCCTCCGCTCTTTCTGCAACCAGGGCTTCTCCTACCACACAGATTCAGTTGCCTTTATACCCCACATGAGTCTCACCTTGCAGGAGCAGTTCTGCTTCCAAGCACTTAATCACAAGCCTTTTGCTGTATTGCTGTGCTTACAAAGGATGACTTTCTAAGGTGAAGTTATCCTAGGGGAGGAGGGAGAAGGCTTCTGCTTTAAATCCTGCTGTGCCCATGGGCACACCCTGACAAGACACAACCAGGAACAGCTAAGTATACCCTCAGCTGGCCTCACGCTGCAACAGGAGTAAGCAGCAAGGCAGGTAAGTAAGTTGCTTCTAGGAAGATGTGTACTTCACTGGTGGACTTGCAATACTGACAGGCTGTTGTGAGTTCATAGTGTCACTAGGGGATTCACATAGTCTCCTTTTACAGGAAAGACAAGTGTTTGTATTGGTAATCCTGTGCCACCACACCATTTTAGGAAGGCCTAAGGTGCTGCCCTGCCAGGGCACAGCAACTGACAGCTGCAGGAGGCCATGGATGTGTCCCTGGGTGCAGTGCTAGCTGGCGATAGGACTGGGCTCCCTACCAGCCAGCTGTGCATCGCAACCTGCCAGGCTGCTTAAGCTGCAGGGTAGCGGGTTGTAGCACGTCTGGCAAGAACTAGGAACCACCCAACTTAGTGATTTTGCTCTTGGTTGCACCCACCCCGAACACTGGTGCAGAGTCCAGTATGCTGTGAGACAGAGTTCTCCCTGATGGGGTTTAAAAGGCTGGCCAGTGTGCGGCTGTGATTGAAGAGCAGCACTTGACAGGTGGGTAGATACATAAATTTTATTGGCAATTGAGTTCACAGCAATCATCTCTGTGCTGACAGTGGCAAGGGGCCAAAGTGTATCTCCAGTTGGAGCAGTAGGAATCAGTGGCATAAAATGTGGGCTAGAGTTTAGCAAATTTGCAATCCAGATTTAAGAGCTTATGTTTTTACAGTAGAGGTTGGAATTCATGTGTGAGGGATTTGCTTAAATGCCCAAGGGGGGCATCTCATTTTGAAATCGGTGCAGGGATTAACAATACAACATACAGCCTACATAGGGAAAGGCTGTGTGTTTTAGAACAAGGTGTAAGTAAATAGTTGAAGTTTACAGTCAAAAAGGTTTAATATCTAGATACATGTACTTGTGCTGTAACTTACCAGGGGCTGTGATTCTGTGTATGAACCACTTCATGTTTATGGTGTAGGTGCTAATTATAAATTGTATCCTCTTCCAAAGCCCACTCCTTGGGGTGAAACTCTTTCATATGAAAGGAATGTTAGACCGTATAAAATTGAAATAACTGTTAGGGGAATACCAGGGTGGAGGCCAGAAGGGACTGAACATGCATCACACTGGTAGGGTGATAGAACAGAATTAGCAAGGGAATGAGAGAATGCTGAGTCAGCTATTGACTCAGGCAGTTATTCACTGCAACTAGTTGTAAATGAATTCATGCATGTTGTCATGCTGGGCCTGCAGCAGTGCATGTTTGTTGTCATGATAGCGATAGATGAAGCAAGTGGAGTTTGAAATTCAACAGTTGCAAACAAGGGCACCTGGCTGGCTAGCGCCTGCTTTAACCCACAGTGAAGGGGATTGGCTGTGCTGTTTACCACCCAGAAAACATTCAGCTGCAGGTAGCTGGGGCCCAGCAGCACTGAGTGGGGCAGACCCACAGGTATGTGGACTCTGGTGGGACAGATTGGTGCTTCATCACACACTCCCCTGTGCAGGGGAGTGGGTGGGCAAAGCAGCCTGTGTTTGGATTTGACACTCTTCTTCACCCCAACAAGCAGTAGCTGCCTGTTCTGGTTTAAGGCCTTCTTAGCAGAAAGGAAGCAGAGCTGGTGTGTCTCTGGAAGTACACAGAAAGGAGTGTAACAACTGAGGAAAGAAAAGCAATTGCTGAAGGATGCAGAGGCAGTTCCAGCCTCAATTAAAGACCTGGACAGTCTATGCAAGGTGATAAGGATGGAGAAACTAAGAATCTGTGAAGGGATAGAGGTGAACTTGCATAGCTCTATCTCCAGGATCCCAAACGTCCTGGAGCATCTGATCAAGGGATGACAGTGTATTAATGGGGATTATGCATCACTGTTTGCTTTCCATACTGTACATGGATTGAGGTAACATCTGTCTGCTAGTGGAAGCCTTGCTGGCAGCTGAGCTGCCCAAATCCAGATTTACCACTAGGTGAACACCATGGCCAGGTCATGCGATTGTGTGAGAGGTGCAGCTGGCAGCTTTTTTGAGCTAGGGGGATTGTCTGTTGTAAGTGACTTTGGAGGTGTGGAAGAGAAGGATGAAGCAGATGTGCTCTGAGCTGATGATCTGCAGGCTAGGCTTTTGGAGATGGTTCATTCCTTGTTCTGCTTTCATCATAGTAACCATTTCAGAACCAGTCCCTTGAGCTCATGTGGGACATCCACAAAGGTGCAATAGCCCTAGAGCAAGCAGCAGAAACTGGAACCAAGCCATCCCCTTTGTCATGGCAAGCTTCTGTAATTCATTAGAAAGGCAAAATTTGCTTCTGAGAGGAAGGGCAGTTGTCTCTTCATGCCACTGATGCCAGTTACAAGTTCTGAGTGTTAGATCTCTGAGGAAGCATCTTAACATGAGCACACATTTGTGAGTAAATACAGCCTGTGCAATCCAATAATTTATTAAACTTTCATATTGTAAAGCCAGTTACAAATTAAAAAAGACAGCAGAAGGAATTCTGTAATAGAAATAAGCAAAATTACAACAAATAGTAATGGGAGTTATATTTCCAAGTGGGTTCAAGCTGCCTGCAGCAACCCAAGAGCCAGAACACAGAGCTAGTGCAGAATTAGGACAGGGATAATCAAGGCTATTCTGATACATAAAGAGATCTAGTCAGTGTACAGACCAATATAAAGTGTTGCTTCTTAGGTTGCCTACACATTCCTGTTCTCTCTCACTCATGACCTGGTCATCTTTTCATTCTTTGTGACAAGAAGGGGATGTTTGTAGGATCCTTCAGTAAAGCTATTTAAGGCAAAACTCCAGTTGAAGTTACAATGTACAGCAGTGGCTACCCTCTTAGGCTGGTTGTGTGGCAAGTGGACAGAGTGTCTGCACATGCTGCAGTGCAGTGGAAATGAGAGAAAAGCATGGGTTATGTACAGGGGGGTTTCTTGTACTGTCAAGCTGAAAACTACAGTGTTCTGCAGCACAGTATTAGTGACATGGCACAATTTGATGATGAATTCAAACAGAAGCTGTTGCATACTGACTCTTATGGTTTTTTCTGTGAAATTTCTATTTCATAGCTAACAGGCCTTATCTGCTACTTCTAAAGAAATGGAAACGTCCAATTTCAAACACATACAGCACTTCAGTTTCATTAAGAAACTGAATGGTCCTTTGCATTCAGGGATCCCAAGACTCAACAAGGGTCATAGTAAATGGCTAGCCACCAAGTTTCTTGATTACTGATGCAACCAAATTATGATGATACTGATACTGAATATTGTTTTAAATGATGAAATCAAGTTTCTGAAGTCAAGAGACTGAAGATAACTTTCATCTTTCACTGAGAAAAAAAAAATTCTGTTTCTTCAAATTGCAAGTAGCTATAAAACCCTCCAAGAAGCACTTGGCAAACCAACATTGTTTTCAAGTTTTGCTGATGACTAGGGACCTAGAGGAGATTGGAAGTGGATTTGGGGATTCACTGACAGGATCAGTTCCAATTAGAATTGGGAGGAGGATGAAAGGTTTGGCATCTGCTTACAGTACTACAAGGGAAGTGAGAATCTTGCCTATAACAATTTATCTAGGCATCTATTTGCTCTGTAAGAAACAGTCCACTTACTTACTTAAAACTAAAGTTCAGGAATCCCAGTCATCCTAAAATTTCATATAGAGAAAGAATGAACTTAATGCAGGCAGGCTGCTTACTGTAAAAACCCCTGACCTCCATCTAAATCCTGGAGTTTGTGAAGAGCAGCTCTTCTGGAGATGCAGCTAAATCAATCTCGCCTCCTCGGCTGTATGGGGGAAAGGCAGTCACTCATTTTTAGGCATTAGGTGCTGTTTGGAATGTTCTCAGAATGATGCCTGCTGACCTGTTTCAGCGGTGTTAGTCCCAAAGGTTTTCTCCTGTGTTGGAGTACTTAGAATTTTAACTTACAGTGCCACTTCTTACAGTTGTGTACCTGTGAACTTATATTGGAAGGTGAAGAATCACCCTTGGTGGTTTTATGTTTGCTTAATGCTTTCTCAAGTAGGGTTTGACCTCTTAGTTGGCCCAGTTGGCTTCAATTTTTCAATGGCATTTTCTTTTCAGACCAGATCAGATCATTGGTATATCCTGAAGAAAAAACCCACAGTGACTTTTATGTTTGAGTTGCTTGCCAAATAAATAAAAAACAAATATTCTTTTAGCAGATCATGCTGACATCCCATGATCCCAGATTTTTGCCTGTTGGAAATGCATAAGGAAGTTCAAGTCTGTCTCCTGTAGTGCAGAAATGATTCTTGTGAATTTTTCTGCCACTATGACATGTGAAAGCAGCAGAGAAGACACGCAGGAAGAGGAGGATGCTTCTGACTTTGCTGCTTTAAGGTATATTGTTCATCAGACAAGCAAAGGGAAAACAAGTTTTGGGTCATTAATATTTAGCAACAGTTGTTACTGTTTATTGTCCTTGGGCAGAGGTGCAAATCCTATGGTTCTGTAGATGTCACTTCAGTTCTGAAATACAGTAGTCAATCAAGTGGAGTTTTTAAAAAACATCTTTGCTACACTTGTGCTGGCAAGTTGCAAATACTAACCATCAAACAACTGCCTCTCATGTGTGGCAGTTCATTCGTATCACCTAGTCCAGATGCTCGCATGACTGTCCACACTAGTGGCTGATTTGACGCTGCAGCGTTTCTTCACGATCATGTTGATGTATGCTTTCATGGTCTTTATTATCTCACCCACCTAGAGAGAGTACACAATAACAGAGGATAAACACATTAAAAACCTAATTTCCATTGATTCCATTCCAAAAGATTCCCCTTGTCTAAAGTCACGGCACCACAAACTTTGCATGTAGTAGTAAATGTGAACATGACAGTACGGAAAAAAATGCTTGGCAAGTTTGTGCTCTGTTGTGGCAACACTTAAAAGGATTGTAGCTCAAAGAAAAGCAACTTTAATGCTACTAAACTTTTTTTGCGTCTTTGAACTCCCCATTCATATACTGGAAGGGAATGAAAAAAACCAAGCACACGCATATGCACCCAAAACTGGAAATTCCCAGTGCTTTGGGAAACCATTCAACCTCATTCACTTTCTAACCAGCATCTTTTTTTTTTTTTTTCTCCTGTTAATCCCTGTATTCCAGAAGAGGTATCATGGCACTTCAGCCTTAAGCTCCCTTCATCTTTTTCCTTGGCTGTCCAGTTCATTTAGCAAGAGTTATTGCATATAAACTTGTCTAGTCCTGCAAAATCAGAGCTTTGCTGCAGTGTCAGTAAAACTGCACATACTACAAGTCTTGTGCTTTCATATACCTGGGATGTTTCAAAGAACATTTCTCTCTCATCCACTGTAATTTTGAAGGTGTTAGGCTGCGGTGCTCCGAAGAAAACAATGTGCTCATATTGAAAAGTTTCTAGTGGTTTAGGATCCCCTCGTTTGTAGACAGACACATTCTCAGTGCTGACTCCAAGCCAAAGATCATTTGGGAATCCACCCTCCTTGCACTGCAGAAAGAAAAACATGAATTATTGTATAAATGCAGTGACATAGTTTTTGAATCAAGGTAAAGTCCTCCATTTCTGGCTCCTATAGGACATCTCAAATCTTCACCCTACTAAAAAAAAAAAAAAAAATAGGATGTCTGCAGAAGGAATCTTGTAGACACTCCTGCTGCAATGATTTAGAAGTGACATGTCTGTGAGTCAAATACTAATTGAGCAATAAATAATGTAATACCTAACAGCTCTCATCAGATTTTTGAAGTGATTTAGGAAGCCAATATTCCTCTTATTATTTTACAGATAATATAGTGAGTGCAAGCAACTTCCTATGGCAATCGACCTAGGCAGCAACAAAACTGATAAAACTGAAACTGTGCCTTCCTGCACCAGCAGGCTAAGCACAGTGGTCTAACCAACCCCGTCTGAGCAGTTTCTGTTGTAGTGTTCTGCTGAACAGCCAGCAGGGACAATAGAGCTTCGGTTTACTTTTGCTTTCACTAACCACCATCTTCTTAAGGCCTCCACCCCAAAGTCCCAAATTTTATTTCTCTTCTAGTGAAGTGGGAATCCATTGTCTCCCTCTATTTACCAGGATGCACCAGCTTGCTTACTCTGTGCTCTCTGTGTCTCACCTCTTTGGATATGTGGTATTGCAGGCTCACCCTAAGCTTACTATGGCAAAATGCAGCCATTTCCCAAAATTCCCTTTGGCTGCTGAGCAATGTAATACACACAGCTGCATCTATTCTCCAGACCAATGCCTCTTCTTGGCAACAGAAACATGAGTTTCATCACTCACCTCAACATCGAAGAGAGTTGACCCATAACCTGGCCACTCCTTTATAATGGACATGTATTTCACCATGGCCTGATGCTGAGAGAGTCCCTGCATCTTGGTCCATTTCTGTGCTATGCTTGCCCGAGCAGCTGAAAGCTCTTCCTTTACCCACATCTCCATCATCTGCTCCTCTTCTACCTTCTGCTTCTTTACAGAGCCTGTCTTGAAGCTACGTTTCAATGTCCCTTCAAGGAAGCTGGTCCGTCTCCTCTCCAGAGTATGACTGGTAGTGCCACTGCTCTTTGTTGAGTGCAGTATTTTGGATTTTAACCTGTTAACTGGGTAGATTCCATCAAGGGTCCAACTTATTTTAGAATAATCTCCATGAAGATACTGCAGCCGTAGAGCTGCTAGGCGCTGCAGAGTGTCCTCTGGTGCAGGAAAATGACCATCTATGAGGCTTTCATGAGCCTACAAAGAAACAAGAAGTACCCAAAACTCATTAAAAAGCAGAAGCATATTTTATTCACAGTTGGGTCCATGTAGAGATTCCTCTGGCATCTGTCCAACCCAGCAGGAAAGACAACTCTGGAAGTCAGAGCAGAAATTATTATAAAGTCAGTTTGCAACTGACTGTCCAGTTCTGCAAGCCTGGACAGGACAGAGATCTCTGAGGGGCTCCTATCCTTTACTGGAAGTCTTACAATGAGGACTTGTAAAGTTTGGAACAGATGGGAGAGACGAGAATTGAGGTAATTTGTTTAGTGCTGTATCAGCTGCAGCTCCTACATGGAGATTATATTAAACAGTAGAAAGTTAGATATAATAAACTCAAGGCTCTTAACATCAGTCTCATTGCACATCAGCACCTCCCACCTCCTCCTCTTTCACCTGATGTCTCCCCCAATCTTCTTGCTTCCTTTTGCCTGTTTTTCTGTGAAATACATTTACAGGCTTTTTTTGTTACATCCACCTAATGTGTAGATAACATCTACTCCTACTGTTACTTCTCTTCCACTACTCTTTGCTAGGAAAAGCTACATAGACTGAAAGTTTGTCAACAGGGAGTTTGGTACAACTGAGTTTCTACAGAGTACCATGATGTCTTGTTTCTGACCATTTTCTAGATGTTCTGTAGTTAACGGTATTTATTCTTCATTTCAAGAAAGCCTTCTCAGGGAACCAGTGGCTGTGTGATGACATGCAAACCATCTGACTATCAGAGAATTTCAGTTTTCAAGACACTGACTCCCTTTAACACATATTAATTAATTTTCAACAGCTATAATTTTCTGAGGCAAGATCAGTCATTAGAAGTAATAAAGATGGGACAAAACACACAGCTGAGTACTCCAGTCAGTTTAGTTTTGCATCCCTAATTGCAAGGTTATTTCATACCAGTGTGATCTCTCACCTCACCAGCATCATTGCGCTATGGAGCATAAGAACTTGAAAGATTACTCAGCAGATCAATATTGTCAACTACATTCTCTATTCCTTTTTCTGTAGTACTCTTCTAGTGCTTTTCTGTTAATCAAAAGAAATTGCCCAAAAGACAGGTTTTTTTAGACAATTCCTGTACCACCCCAAGGATGAGCTGTTTCTGTAAGCTGATACACAGATAGCTACATTTTCCAGTTTTCTTTACACCTATGTTCTGCAAGCTGCTAGTTTCAATTATTCTTCTTGAATCATTATCCAAATTTCTGTATCCTTCAAAATTAAACATAAATTTTAAAAGCATTTTATTATCATTGGTCTTCAAGGGTTTTTTAGCCCTTGTTCATTTTTCTTGCTTCTGTTTTAATACTCCTATTCCCTAGAGAACTTCACAGTATATCTGCTTGGTAGATTCCAGGCAAAAATTAAACACATTAAATTCTTCTGTTCCAACCAGCATTCCCACTTCTAATGCAAAGGTAATCCAGTTTTTTGTACACTTTTGTGTGCTTCTGCCACCCTGGAAATTAAATCATTCTCCCAGAGCAAGCTTACCTGCTCAAACATGAAGGCAAACTCCACCCCATCTTTGGGAACATTCTCAACATCTAAGAAACAATAAAGCTTAAAATACAGCTGCCACTGTCCTTCTTCCTCTTCTTCTTCAGACCCAGCAAGTCTGTAAGATTGGAAAGAGAATAAGAGAACAAATCAGTAGCTAGGAGCACCACAGTGCTGGGATGTCCACAGTGCAACTTGCAATATGAAGATACACCTGGATTTCTGAAACAGAGAGGATACAAAACTACCTAATTTAGCAGGACAATCTCAGTGCAGCAGACTTTGCTAGTAACTTCCTTTTTTTCCTCTGAGTCATGAAATTTTGATTCAGAAGGACCCAAAGTTGTTATCAAATACACTTGATCAAAAAATTTTTTAGATCGATAAATGCAAGAGTTGGGGCAGGACACAAAGTAGTCCCCATTTTTAAGGTACAGTTTCCACCAGATCCTGTAATCTTGTGACTGTGAAAAACATCAACCTTGACACTATTTGGAACAATTTTATTTGTGTCTTTAGAACCGCTGTAAAATAGATAATGGCACTGATAGTTTCTTGCATTATTTATTGCTTCTTTTGTATGCCTGGCCACAAAATCACAGCCCACAGTAAGAAATAAGAGTTGCATTTCTATGTCTAAATCTTTGCTCTCTTCTGATATAGCTTTTATGATGTATTTTGGCAAGTAATTACCAGACTTAAGCAAACCTTCCCTGAGCTCTGCTAGCAAAACATTATTCTTTGATAAAGGCACTACTGATTTTGCCCTAGTAAAGAATGCTTCTTTACTATGCTGCTTTACATGGCTTTCCTCACATTGAGAAAGAGCACTTAAGCCTTACCAGGGAAGTTCAAACCAGAGTGAATGGTTGAATCACTGCAGCTGCTTTGCATAAAACTGCCAGACTATACTACCATTTAACCCAGTGTAACACTCAACTAGGAGTTAAAGGTTTCATGAAATGTTATCCTACCTCTCAAACTTGGCCAAGATATCAGCCACGATCACCCGACTCTCAACAGCCCGGTCCACCTGCTGATTATGTTCAAAGAGTGCAAACATGTTACGGCTGTCTTCCATTGCTAAACCTCGGATCAGCTTTTCAACCACCTGCAAAATTGGAGAGAGACAGATCACAGAGTAGGTATTACACACAATTTCACAAGGAAGAATCAGTATTTCTTCAGGACACTCAAAATTTCATAGACCTCCACCACATTTCACCCTTAGTTATCTCATTTTCTGATTAAAGAATTCTGACCCTCAAAGATCATTCCCTTCAAGGAAGTCATTACTTGTATATGATCATGCTCGTAGTTCTTCTCTGAACTTTTTCTTTCTCTTCTACCCTTTTGAGCATGGAGGAGTTAGAAGTCTGTACAAGGTACAGACACATAAGCGATTTAGATGTCATGATGATATTCTTGGTTTCTTCTAATAACAGTTCCACTCTTTACTACTATTTTTACATCTGTTTAGCACTAAAGTTTTCAGACATGCCTACTATAGTCTGGAATCTTGCTTCTGACCTGCCAATGATTCAGTTACAGTTACAGTATCCCTTCGAGAATGATTACATTATGAACTGGAATTTCAACTTATCTAGAAAACTGTTTTCACAAGTCTTCAGAATTATTACCTTTCCAATGGGCAGAACACCAAAGTGTATAGATTTTGCAACACAATTTTTAAGTGATATTCTACAACCTGGGCATAGGCCTTGCCTACTTCTGAACCTGCAGAATAAGCTAAGCTTTCTGTACAGACTTGGTGGATACAGAAAAAAAATAAATTGTACTTAAAAAAAAAAAGTAATATGAAATTGGAGTTGAATGGGAAAAGGGAGTCCCTTCAACAAAGCCAGTATCCAGGCAGAGAGATGTGCTTACATCTAGTTAGAGCTAGATGTAACATTATTAATGCATTACCTCCCCAGCACTCGTGTGGGAATTGATGGTTATTTTACAGGAGCCACCGCCATGGCAGTACACTGTTGTGGTCATTTCTTCACGGGTGAGAAGAGCCTGTATTTCCTCCTGGGAGGGCACAAACTCCCTTGTCTTCGTTCTCTTCAGGGAATCACTTATGAATTGCGCATACTTGTCTATTTCTGAGCCTGGAAAGAGGTCTTTTACCCTAATTGTAAAGAGAAGCAAAAGAACCCATTACACAGTGAAGCAGAATTACCATATAATTTGGACTACTGTATGTAAAGAGTTCAGTGGACATAGTGATGTCAAGCGCAACCACAGAAAGAATGAGCTCCCATATTTCCTAAACCATAAAACCTGCTTTTAACTAGTGTCATGGTTTAAGCCCAGCTGGCAACTTGGAACCACGCAGCTGCTCGCTCCCTCCCTGCTTCTTCCCTGCTCCCCCTGCTCCCGGAGGGATGGGGAGGAGAATCAGAGGAATGTAACTCCCACGGGTTGAGATAACAGCACTCCAGTAACTAAGGTACAATACAAACCACTACTGCTACCAATAATAATGATTAGAGGAATAACAGGGGAGAGGACACAACCGCTCACCACCCGCTGACTGATACCCAGCCCGACCCGAGCAACGATCTGGGCCTTCCGGATAACTCCCCCCAGTTTCTATACTGGGCATGACGTGCTGTGGTATGGAATAGCCCTTTGGCCAGTTTGGGTCAGGCGTCCTGTCTCTGCTTCCTCCTGGCTTCCCCTCCTCCCTGGCAGAGCATGAGACTGAGAAAAGTCCTTGGTCAGAGTAAACATTACTGAGCAACAACTAAAAACATCGGTGTTATCAGCATTGTTCCCAGACTGAAAGTCAAAAACACAGCACTGCACCAGCTATTAAGACAGAGAAAAAATGACTGCTGTAGCTGAACCCAGGACAACTAGTCATTCCAAGGTCACTCAAGTGGCATTTCTCAGCAACGTATGAAATAAGCAGTTCAAACATTCAGGAGTTTAGTACCAGCTGAAGATAATAGGATTGACCATCTCAATTTACAAAATTGAGATTAAAAACTATGAAACTGAATGTAGAATTCTGTTCATTTACTCATGTTTTTTAATTTGCTGGCTGTGCTTGAGCCACATCTACAGTATTTTTCTGAATCAAGAAGATAGAAAGTAGATGCTTGTACACATTTCTCTTCCCTCCAAGGCCAGCAGTTCTAAGTATAACATTATCTGCAACTCTAGTGATAAAACCCTGAAATGGTGACATGGAGTATTCCTCAGCATCTTAGAACCAGGCCCTGGACGTAGCTATTCGGTGTACTAGCACAAATTTCACCACACTCCTTCCTGGCTCAGAAGGAATTAGCTAGCTTATATTTATCTTTCTTGTCATTAATGAACAGAGTGAGACTACATGGCTGTAGCTCAGCCCCAGTGCAGACTGCTTGGAAAGCTGCATTAGATGCTGAAGAGGAATTGGAAAGAAATCTAAATTATTTAGTTCATGAAAATTGGAAGTTAAAGTGGGTTAGAAATACAAATTGTAGCACTATACGTTTAGTTAAGCACATAAATACTGAAAAATTATAAATTGGATTTACAGTATATCTAGTACTCCACAGTACACATTTTGCCTGTGGCAGCTGCAAGGTAGTCCATATTTCAGTGTATATGAAAGTACAGTCCTCACCTTTCCTGCAGGTTGAGAACATTTACATGGATATTAATAAGCAGTAGGTCATCAGCTGTAAATCCACTTTAACATAGTCTCACAGTATTCTGTTTGGGTAGCCTTACTTTCCACATCCTTTTGATGAAATGGCTGGCAATACATTTGAATACAACAGAACAACTGGTAGCAAAAATTGCACACAAAGGTAGAAGGCTGCAACACCACAGGAAGATGTTTGCACAGGAGGAGGGTGAGACAGAGAACTACAACAGCCAGTGGAAGACTGGCAGAGAGAAAAGTAACCAGCTGCAAATGAAAAGAATGTTTACCTTCTAAGGTGGAACTTGAGGTAGCGCAGGATTCCTCTACTAGGCAGAAAAGTGCAGCTCATACATGACATCAGCTGCCAGTGGTGCAGGTTCCCAATACTGTTGGGATGCGGCATGTGGTTAGTTTGCTTGATAAGCTGACAGTACACTTCATCACGAAGGGGCTTTAAATCATGGCAGGTCTGCAGAATGCCTTGGATAATGGGTATGGGGTCAGACACTGTCTCAATTTCCTGAAGGGAGTTAAAGATCTTCACTGCTTCATCCTGTAAGCTGCTGTAACCCTTCTCTTGTTGCACTGAGGAACAATCACAAAGATGGCAAGAAGTGAGCATTACATTCTTCTGGCCCAGCAACACTACAAGCAACTGTACCAGTCTGTCACAGAAGAAAAGTGACCTGAGCATTAGCTCATCTCCTGAACTTAAATTTATACTTAAAATTGATTAATACTTCCCCTTTAAATGCACAAATGCAGATTTAATTAGCATTTGCCAACATCTAACTTGCCATCACAGCAAATCCATTTTTTTATATACTGTGCAGAAAAGCAAAGTAATGTTTTTAAGGGAAACTAGCATTGAAATATAGTTCAGGCATCAGTGTCTGCAGATGAGGTGCCAAGAGAGGGCTTGTGGTGCTTCATCTGCAAACACAGGTGAAGCGGTGGCAGAAGGTCACTCTTTGTAAACTGTCTCCTCATCTGAGAGCAGCTGTAAAGCAGAGGGTCGTTAATGCAGTTACAGCTTTAGATGCCCGAGTACAGACACCAAAGCCTGGCTTGTGTACTTCCAATATTCTATGTTTTGCCCCTGAAGCCAACAAAGAATTTTGACAAATTGCTGTACCACTGATTCAGCTTTTACCTACTGTTTAGAATTAAAATTCCTAATCCAAATCTGCTTAAGTTTCTTAAGCACCTGAATGTCTGCTTTGAATTGCTCAGAAGTATGTGATACTACCATACTGCTGCAGGCTTGCATCCTTTACACAACTCTGGGGCTGTAGGTCCTTCTGAATCTCCTATGCAGCCATTGCTTCCCCAATAGCCATGCATTAATTGTACAGTACCAATACACAGCCCTCCACAGTGTATTTGCTCTGTAATTTTTCTGTATCCCAGAATTTCTTTTTTCTGTGCTTTTAATCTGCCACTTAATTTGATCCTTGTATCATGAGAGACAGTTAGCAGTTACTTCCCTTTCACTTTCTTCATGACAGTCCTCTAGTCCTAAAAGCTTCTTTTTGAGGCTGAAGAATACTGCTCTATTTAGTCTCCTAATTGTAGGCTAGTCTTTCTATACCTTTAGTCATCTCTTGGTAGGTTCTTACTTCTCCTGTATCTTTGTTAATATGTGAAAGGCCAAACTGAATCCTGTATTAAAGATGCAGGTGCATGATACATCAGTAAAGCTGCACAGAGACTTTTTCCTTTTCTAAGCTTTCAAAACCTTGCATTACCTGTTGTGTTCCCGTGCTTAGCACAAGACTTTACATTTTCATAAAGCTGTGTAAATTTCTGTTCACTTTTCTAAGCAGAACTAGATCACTACCCATGCGGCAAACTGCTTTTCCCATATACACTTCTTTGCATATCCAGATTGAAATAAATTTCTGAAAAGATTCTGTGGCCCAGTCATTCTCTGTAAAGAGATTCTTCTATAGGTCTTCAGCAGCAGCTTTCAGTTTTAGTATTGCCAAACAGTGTGGAATCATCAGCAAATCACTTCAGTTTACTGGTGGCCTATCAAACACTCTATCTCTTTCATGTTCCTGAAGTGTTTGAAGAAAAGATTTGTCTGGTTTTACAGCAGCGTCTGTATTAATAATAGCCCACTGCCAGTTGCATAATGTAATCCTGTTGTAGGATTTCCACTGGAGCTATATGCAGCTGCAGCTAAAGGATGACAGGCTGCACATCCCATTTTCTTTAAGATTCAGTGTTCCTAAGACCAAGGCAGTGGACACAGAATACATTCTGGGTTGCGAAATGACCTGCTCCCTCTCTGAACCCTGTGGGCTCAGAACCCCAAATGGACTTCACCTGCATAGAGCGCACTCACAGACCACTTTTGTGGTGCTCAGGCTCCACACTCATCCTCAAAATGTGAGCAGATTCTGTCACGTGGGTAAAATACTTACAGTTGACACTAACATCTCCATATGGTAGTGGGAGCAATGGGGAATGCAATGGGTGCTGGGTGTATCGCAAGATTGGGTTCCTCCTATATGTCTGTTCCACTACTTCAAAGTTTGTGCTGTTTTCCTGGGGGGAAGGGAGTGGAATAAAAAAGAGAGAAAAAAAAGGAGGGTTATAATGATCCTTAAATGGGGATAGACCTTTGCAGGACGTCCTTACACATTTAGGTTCAAGCTCAACCACTTTATCTAAGTTTCTGGAGGTCCATAGAGGGACTAGGGGACCAAGGCATAATTCATACATAAATATTACTCTGTACATTATTGCTGAAAATTAAATGTAAGAATAGCCACACTGGATCATATCAAGCACAGGATCCTCACTTCAAATGTGGCTTGTGGCTGATACCTAATGCAGGTATATAACAGGCATGTATGACATCATTCCTCCCTGGTATATTCTTCAAGCTTTCAACAGTAAATGGTTAATAGACTTTTTGATCACAGATTCACTATGTTTAGTATGTAATAACGAGCCTGTCCTCCCTGAATTTGCTTGGTTGTATTCCATGTGTTTACAGAATGGACAACCAAACTACACATGGTGTTAAAAATTTGGGCCTGTCACTATCATATACACTGGCATCACCTTCTTCCACATTTTGTCCTATATTTCTTCCCTAATAATACTGAACATTTCATTTGCCCATGAACCCCGAGCTGAAATTTTTCAAGATTCTCCATAATCACTCCCAGTTTGTTATTGCCAAATAGTTACTATCTAATTGCATCTACTTTAAAGCCCATCACAATGCATATGTTTACATATATGTTTCTTCTGAAGTATGCTTTGGTGTATCTTATAATATGATTCTACATTTAATTTGCCACAGTTTCTGGAAAGAAGCCTTTTCAATAATTACTCCTGCTACAGTGGCACAATTTCTGCTACTTTGAAGGATGTTTTCTTTCCGCCCTTTTACTCTGCTATTTAACCACACAAGCCTAAGGTACAAAGAGGACTTCAGGGTACAGCAAAGTCACATGGCTGGTAAGAATGGAAATTTTTATATTTGTGTCCAGAGGATGTTTAGGAGATGAAAGGATGAAGCAGGGATTTGCAATTTGTAATTGCACACAGTTGTAGCCTGAACTTACACAGATGAGTTAACATGCTAATTCAAAGTAAAATTAATGTAAGATTTGATTATTTAGCTGCACAGTCATTTAGGTTTCTCCATTCCCCGCGCCCCCCCCCCCAAGACAGCAATCCTGTTTCTTGCCACACAGAATCATAGAAAGGGACCTTAAGATCATCTAGTTCCAAA